GACTGGATAAGCGTCGTACCGTGTGTAGGTTATCTCTAATATAGGGTAGTATTCAACAAATATTGTTAAAGAAGGAATTTCATTATAAAAAAGCCTTGTGTTGCTATTTTAGTAGGATCTTATATTTCATGAACACATAATACGAAGTAGTACAAACAATATAAATCTCCTTTTTCAATTACGGACAATAGTCAGTAGGTTAATGACAGTCAAGAATTTCATGTTAACCTTGAATAATTATTAGTTATGTATAAATCATCTCTATAATAATATTGTAAAGGATTCTTATTTCTAGCCCTTAACCTATATACTATATTTTAATATTCAGGCTATGTAAAGTATATATATTGTCCCTCATTACAAGTGTTTGTGAAATGCTTAGTAAGTAACCTCGCTAAAAATGGTAACTTAAAAAATATATCACAAGAACTAGTTACTACTACTGTAATTATATAAATAATTAGACTTTATATTTATACTACATCATTAGACTTTTCTTTGTAAGGTCTAGCATTTTTTAATTCTTTTCTGTTTTTGTCATAATTTACAGTAGTTGGTCCAATATTTTGTCTAATATCCAGTTTTATATCAAGTATAGTGAAAAGTTAACACTCTTAGATAAACATTTCCTAAATATTCTATATAGTTAACCAGCTATAAGTTGAAATACCATATGTTAAAGTGGTATTATTAAACCATATTTAGAGTTGTATTAAGTATTGTTAAAGTGGTCTCTATCTTTGTATTTGATGCTTGCTATTAAAAAAAATACATTATAATACCAACACTTATGATAAGATAATACTTCTACAACTTCTAATGGAATATTTAGTTTATCATATTGTTATTTAGAACATTGGTCTACTCTGAAATTCTGGTCTACTCTGAAATTCTGGCCTACTCTTGAAAAGATATACTGTAAAAGATAACAGTGAAGATGAATATTCTTTGTATAAAAAATATATATTAGATAAAAAGTAATAATCCATATAAAGTTGCACCTCATTATCCTAGGCAGCTAAAATCTGAGGAATCACTCAGGCACAGCAAGGAATTTAATAGAACATATCATATTATAGGGGTAAGAAATTTCAGGTTTCTTGAAATTTGTATGAAACAGTGAGGTGTGGCTACTGGAAATCGGGAAAAAAGATAGAAAAAAATAATAAAAATACTAGACAATATAAAAGGAACATCTAAGGATATAGCATAAATTTACAGTCGGATTATTTATATAGTTACAGTAGTAGTGACTGGTCCTTGTAACAAATTTTTTGGGTCCGCATTTTTCAGCCATGTTGCTTAGTAAGCATTTCATGAACACTTCTGACGAGGGACTGTACAGCTTCTTAGAAAATATTATGAAATTTACTTTTTACCATCTAAAATAACTTTACATTCTGGTGTATCTTATTAAAGAAAATATTTGTGTAATGCCAATTGGTTGTGAAGCTATTTCAGTTTAAAACAGCTGCATATTTTTTCTTGAAAAATTATATGAATGCAACATCCTTGGTATGTAACAATGTTTGGCTTACATAATTTATTTTGACCATCATGAGGTGTTTGATATTAGTAGTGATAATTTACCCTCCAAATATTTTAAAGATTGTTGCATATTATTATTAAAAATATGTTGCAAATACAAAATGACCGATATCTCAAAACCAATTTGGTGGGTTGCAACTCATTTTTCTCAACACAACACAAATGGCCGATACCCAGGTTTTTTCTGGTACTGTACAGGCTTACTTTCCTATTTATTTCTTTATGTTTTATCTTTCTCAATTGCTCACCATTTTCCCCGCAGGTAACAGGACGATTTGATCTGATACGATACGATAGACGAAGACCAATTTGTGAGTGTGTGTGTGGGGCACGGTGGAGCGCCGGTGCCGGTTAGACTGTGTTACTCTCCATCTACGATATGAAAACTACTGTTTTTGGTGATCCATCCAACGAAATTTAATGCTTGATCTTCCTATCCAGGCTTCCCCATTATGTACTGTACCTGTATGATACCTGCCTATTTTCTTATCCCTAGACCAGAATGCTGACTCGGAGCTACGATTGATTAGATTGGAATGGAGGGCGCCCGGTGCTCTATCGAAAATCCCCTAGCTGCAGGGGAGGATGAAGAGCGGAGGAAAGAAGGAAGGGGGGGGGGGCGGTGTGAGAGGGCAAAAAAAAAAAGAGGAAAGGGAAAGGGAAAATTCCCACCACCATATAGAGAGAAAAGAAAATGTGCGATTTTGTATCACAAAGTCTTCCCCCGTCCCGCGCCCGTCCATTCACCCGGTTCTGCCGTGATCTGGGTTGCTCTCAGACACAAGCAGCACAAAGCAGTACGAGTACTGTAAAAGCGCTGTTACTAAGGAGCAGATGAGTCTCAGGGAACATTCAATTACGATACTACGGTAGCCCGCGCACAATTCCCCACCCTCTCTTTTCTCCATCGCTTGACGCCATTTTTGACGGTTCGATATTGACTGAGATGGAGCGGGGTGTTTGAGATTTGAACTCCGCCCTCGCCTACGGGGAGGGAGGGATGTCTCTGGCTGCCGTCAAAAGAAAAAAGGAAAAAGAAGGAAAAAGAAGGAATGAAGAAAAAAGGGCACGCAGCACCTTTTTTAGGAATCGCATCGTGCAGAACCAATGGCGTCTTCTTTGCTTTGCTTTCGCTTTCCTTGCTTGCAGGTGGATCAGCTTGCTGTGTCACATCGTACATATCCGGGCACATACCGTACTTCATCTGCGGTGGCGAGGGCCCCCATCATTATCATCATCATCATCAGCAGCAGCAGCAGCATCAAACATCTGCATCATCATGATCACCATCAGCCGCTTTCTTGTTATATTTACTCTTCCATTTTTTCTTCTCTTTCGATTCTTTCTGCGCTCTCCCCCCACCCCCCCTCTCATCTGGGCTTGGGCTGGCTGGATGACGGAGGTGAGCGGAGGTGGGATGATGAAGTGGTGGTTGTAAAGGAGGCGATGGTATTTTAAGTGATGTGATTGTACAAAGTGCTATGCCATACATGGCATATACCGGTACAGGTATCTTATCCACACACTCCGATTCGGTTCGGTGTTTCCCACCATTCCGATTATATATAATGGGAGATCCGGGAGTTGGTCAGAGATCCCGTGCCCTCGCCAATCGATCCCCTCAGCGACTATCAATATATGCGAAGTGCGATGCCATGGGAACATTGGTCGCCTATCACAATTTACCGAACACCCCAATCCGAATGTGCGAAGCAAGATTGATGATAATAATAACCCATATTTGTAGCTATAAAGGGTAACTGATGCAATGCAGCGAATCATTGCTTCCATATCCACGGCCTTCCCAAAACCCGACGTCTTCGTATTATCTACCGTATCCCGACAGCCCGCTATAATACACTTACTCGAGCATGGTGCATGCCGCCCAGGGAGCGCCGAACGCTTACGAACATCCGTAATACCGTACGAGTACTGTACACTTCTCCCTCACTCGAGTGAACAGGGGAGGAGGGAGAGAAAGCATAGTACAGTACGTCCTCCATCCAGCCGTCGCCGCCTGAATTTGAGCTCTAGAGAACTCTCACCGCAACCCATCCGTAAGGTTTTACGCGGGCTTTGGGCAAAATGATTGGTGCTTCGCTTTGCATCCCTTCCCCTCCCATCGCCCACAATTCACTCCCCCTCCCATTCCTTCCTCACCTACTTTCGAATCGTGCGGATGTGAATGACTGAACCAGTTCGTGGGAATTTACTTTATTTTATTTTTCCTCCTCTGATGAGAGCGAATGCGAGAAGGATGGAGGGCGCAATTCAGATGGGTAATGGCCGAGTAAAAAATATTACTAATACGGGTCCATTCGCGCAAGGGATTTGGTCATTCCATACCCTTCAGTGACATCATGTTAAGACCAATACTTCACCCGAGAACATGGCGCTCAGCGGCGGCGGAAAATCAAAGACAATAATACAAGTACTTAGGAGTTGTCAAAGAAAAAGAAAAGCGACCAGGAGAAGCTGTCGAATCCCTACACTTGCCATCCCCCAATATGACTAGCAGTTTTTCTACTCGAGTAAAGTGAGACTCGAGAAGAGAGAGGTGTCAAACAGTACCGTACTCGAGTAATCAGGGGAAAAAAAGAAAAGAAAAGAAAAGAAAAAAGAGGGAGTGACGCCTTCACAGGGAAAGCTACAGGCGGTTTGAGCCGCCCCTTCACCAGGAACAAGAGCCATGATCCCGGAGATTTTACATTTCCCCTACAGCCTCGCGACAAGAAAGTACAAGTAATAATAATAAAGATAATGAATGATGCGTCATGATCCCTAAAGCTTTCCTTCACGTCTGCCCCTTTCGTGTAATCCTTTGCCTTATTTTCTCAATTCCTTTCACCATCCCCTCCCATTCTGTCCATCAATTCACAAGTGGGAAAGGGAAAACTGGGGGTGGCAAGGGCTTGTTCCCGGGCCAAGCCATTAATCCTTCTCCGCGAAGCTCTTCTCATCACCCTCGGTCATCATGAAGGCATGCGCCAGACGTTTCTGATCCTCCCGGGAGAAGCTATTTTGTCTCGCATGATGGGCCGGCTTGCCACCGCCGTCCGATCCGGCCCTCTTCTCAGCAGCCTTTTCCGCAGAGAAGCCGGAGAAGCGAGCACTGTCCTGTTCGTAGTTGTGGGACGAGCGCAGAGGCAACGGGGGCGTATTGGTGAATGTCTGTCGCTGCTGCTGGCCATTGTCGACTTCAGCAGCCGGGGAGGGCTCAGTCCTGTTCTCGATGATGGACTGGGAGCTCGGCGAGGAAGGTGCAACTTAGGAGTGGTGGGCTTTCTCGGTGGTGAGTTGAGACATATCGCCTTGTCTTTCGATCGCTACTACGATACACCGTTACCAAGACGATCTTTCACTGGATAGTTTTTTTTCCCTTTACCTTTTTCCGCTTCCCCGCCCCCTTTCCCTTCTCAAAAAAAAAAACTTCTTTCCAAAGAATGACTTACTTTCGCAGTCCAAGTCCGGTGGAATATTTTCTCTCTCTTGATTTCGTCGGGGAAAAAGGTTTCAATTGAGTATCTGGGGATTCCGCTGGTGAATGAGAGAAACGAGTCGCTGAGGAGGTGAGGAGAAAGGTGACGAAATGCGGGGGCATTTTTTAACCAAGATGGTGATGTGCGCTTGCGTGATCATCGCTGCAGAATCCCTGTTTATGGTCTGGTTGTGGTGAGAGGCTAATCATGCTATGCTTGCTCATGGGTGTGCTACAAGGGTAGTCTGTGGAAGGATCCCGATGGTGACTATGGTGGAAACGGCTGTCGGTAGCAGGGCTAACAGCCTGAAGGGAACCTCATCCAACTACGCTATTTTTTACAAGGCTTTACCGCGGAGAATGAAAGAGGGGGGAAGCTCTCACTTATCAAATTGATTGGGATATTGTATCAATTTGGCTATTTACTTATTTACCCTTGAACTGGACGTCTCGCATGAGGGATATTTTGAAGAAGTAAATTTTGTTCTATTTCGAGTTCTATTGTCATTGGGATTTTCTCCAGTCACGGGCATCACCTGGTATCACTCGTGTAGCTCCGTCCATTACTGAGCTTTGGAGCTCCGTGCTTCGAGACCGTCGGGCGAGGTCAGTGGTTTTTCGGATGTAGTTGCTTTGGATCGGTTAAGCAAACTATTTTGACGTAGAACTCAATCCGGAACTTGGTTTGTAAATGTGTTTTTTTCCACCGGGGACTGTCCTACGATTCCGGGGAGAAAATCGAACTTAGTAATGAGCTAGGGAATTTATTTGGTTTTAGTAGCTGAAGCCGTGTATCAGAGCTACCTTGTACGAGTACGTCGGGGGATTAGAAGGAGAAAAAACAAGCAATATCACGGGGCTGAATTTCGATTGGCTCAGGGAGATACGTATCTGGATTGGTCCGTGAGGATAGCGGTATGTTATAAGACCCGGGACTATCATTTGGTAAGGTTCAAGGAAGGTTTCACCACCACCACCACGCACATACTCGAGCACCGCTCGAGTTTGACTAATAAGGGATAATTGTTTTTTCCATTCCCAAGCTCACCGTACAGCATTACTTGGCTCAAGGCCTTTCGACGCCAAATCAGGGATGATTTTTGCTAACCTCCAAAAAATAAACGGAAGAAAACAGCACCGAAACTCTGTAACATTTTTGAATAATTTTAAATCGTCATCGGCAGCCGAGGGCCGAGAGCTATCTAGGATATGATGATAAGATAATGATGGAGAGGTCCAAAAAAACAAAAGAAAACAAGGCGATCCTCGCTCTGTCCGTCCGTTAATCTGTTTGCTGGCTTCCGCTAGAATTTTGCAGCTTCGGTTTTGTCTAACGCTTTTTGTTGAAACGGTATCCACGAGTCTTCCTTCAGGATTCCGAAAAAGCCCTCTCTCCCTATAGATTTCGCCGTCTTTTCTTTGCCTCCACCGCCTCCCACCCAAGGTTGAGAAACACAACCCTATCGTACGATTAAGCGGAGAGCCTAGCGCTGGTCTGCTCTGGTTGGCGTGAACGAAAGTGGGTTTGTCCCGGGAAAACTGATTCACTTTGTCTCCCTCCTGGTGTATCTAAGACATTTTCTGAATGACTTTGGTCTCACTGATGGTGGAATGGATAGAGCTAAACCGAGGGGCGACAAAACGCTGGCGAAATTGGCGCGAATGGAAGAGAGAGAGCAAATGGGTAGGCGGATGAATGAATCAATACGAAACTTGTTTGCATTGCCCCAACCTATTTTCTACTTTTTTTTGATAATTATTTTCTCGTTGCCGGATTTTGGGTTGGGGTTGGTGAGTGGGGATGAATCGGGTGGTGGTTGTGGGGAGGAAGGGAACAAGGGAGAAAGGAGAGCTTGGTAGGTGGTAGATTGGTTGATGGGAGTGATATAAAAATATACTCCAGTTGACAGACGCACTCCTGACAAAGCGGGTTTGTTTCTCCTTCTTTTGGTTCTCCGGGGTGCTGATGGGGCTATCGCTAGAACCTCTGGATTATATGGTGGTGGTTTGATTTACTGTTAGAGTTAGTGTGTGAACTTGACGTGCTTCTTTCTCTCCCCTCTCGGATTCCTCACTCGAACTGGTCTTTCCTCCCACATACTCATCGCATGCCATCACATAACCTAGACAACTCCAGATCTCCTACAAGCTCCGACAATCTTGAAATTTCGCTTTTTCTCTCCGCATCGTAAGCAGCTGGTGATCAAATCAGTCACTATTTTCATATAATACGTCAAGTGTCAGAGTTTTACCAGAACACGCCGAGTTGTGACGTGGAACACATGCACCGGGGGCAACTAGGATGGCATCTCTCTCACCTTTTTCTCTTTTTTTCCCCTCTCCCATCTTTTATTCTCAAACATGCTGTTTTTGGTAGCTGTCAAGCTTCCATCGGACACGAGTCATTCACTCTGCAGAAAGCCCTGGTTGGAGGGTAGACCTTGTTATCAGCCCTGCCGTATTGGATATTCAGGAACCCTGATTTCAGTGGATGAATCTTTTTTGCGGGAGAGTTTTGTTTCCTTGTCTAATCGACTTGGATGTTTTAACGATGGAAAAAGGTAATTGGTTCGGGGCAGGAGGGGCAAGAAAGTCTAGATTGGGGGTTCATCCAATCATGATTCATAACAAACCGTGTTGCTACTGCGTGCCACACCCTTGGAGATATGCTTGGGATGCCCTTCCAGAATAGTGCGTGCGTGTGTGTATGCTCGGCATATGAGGAAAGGGGGTTCGTTGAGTGGTTAATGTTAACAGGTCTGTGAAGAGGTAGGGTTTTTTTCATAAATAATCTTCCGCTGCTTTTAAGAGAGAAAGGAAAACTAGCTGGTGGTTGAGCTCTGATGATCGCAAATCGGAGCGCTGGTAAATTCATGGGCGCTACCACAGTGGATATTTACCCATAAGACATAGTAAGCATGTGCGGGGAGGGGAAAAGTTCATCTGCACAAAACTTTGTGAGACCAGCGCTGGGAATCATATCGTCTCACTCGCCAAGTGTCAAAAAACCTGATGGTCGAGCGGACGGAATCCCAGTTAGGATAATTGGGCTATCCCCCGTCTCCCCTCCTCCGCTTCCCCTTGCTTCCCCGCTCTGTCCGTCTTGCTTGGCGGTGTCCTATTCAATAAAAGAAATCCACATCAGCTTTGGAGAAAAAGTAAAATAATGTGAAAGCAGAGACATTCTAATGTATGCTACACAGCCGCTGTGCCCACAGCAGTCCACACCCGAGACATTTTCCGCGCCCGGGTTGTGGTATCCATCGACAGGCATCGCAACAAGCACGTATGTCCTTGTTCGCCTCGTTACATTGGTGCTTGAGGGGAGGTTGCTACCTTTGAGGTGTGCTTAGTTCAAGGATATTGTATAACATTGCACTGCACTTGCTCTTCGTCCGGGGGGATCCCGGTATCTGGTCGATCAGGGAAAATGTGTGATGTACAAGTATTTGTAGATGAGCGATATCTGTCTCTCCCTTTCCCCCTCTCCACGAATGTGTGTGTTCCATTTTTTTCCTTTTTTCTTTTTGGTCTTCCACCCACTAGATCCTAGGATCGCAAGACAAAGTTTGGGCCGAATGAATATTTGCGGGTCGTGTCTTTCCTACACGAAAGCGTCAAGGAGTACCGGTAGCACAATTTCTACGGTAGTGATCCGCCCATCAGGTTCCCATTCAAACAGATGCTGCATGTACTTGTATGATAGTAGCTTACGCTGGGTTAGAGAATGTACAAGCTAAGATGTAGGAATTATTCTTTTTTTTTTCGGAGGGGGCGGGTAGTCGGTGGGCCGTTGGGTGAGTGTACTCGAGTAGTTGTGTGGGTGGGCCAGGATATAATTTGATTTGCGAAGAATATGATAGAGGATTCTCGTGATCATTCAGGATAGCTTCCCTGATTCTACTGCCGACTGCGGGATACCCAGTTGGTAAGTATATTCGGATCATTCACTATTTCTACTGGAAGATTATGGGGTACTGATAATAACCCTTACTCGAATACTGCTTCTATAGGAGAGACGTGGGCCCAAACGCGCTTACCTCTCTGTCGGGTTAAAACGCCGAAGGGGCTGTGTGCCCAAGCACCTATCGAGACTCGCTCGTGCATTTCCTCCGCATCACCCATGACGATAGTACTCGAGCACAGTGCTTGGCCGTAATTTTGTCAATGAAGTGGGGAGTAGAGATATGATATCGATTGGTAAGAGGGGTAGTGATACATGTTGCGGTGACGTGCCATCAAAGTTTTTGATGGGAACTCAACAGACATGTTGTGCTGTACATAGTGTTGACAAGGGCAAATCAGCTACAAGCACTTTCTGTGTATGTATCCCCCGTGTTTAAGTTCCGTTAAGCACTAACGCCCCACCAACGCTGGGATCGGGGGAGTTTCTCGCTAGGATCCTATCTGCATATGACATCCGGCATTAACGAGTGATGAGCAATGACTGTGAAAAATCATTGTTCCAAGTCCAGATGGGCCCGCGGTGGCCCGGGCGGGAGGCTTCAATACCCGTCACTCGCAGTTCGTCGCTGCTGTGCTCTTCACGGCCGCTATTTTGCCAGCCCCATCTGCACTAGCACAATTCCTTAAACATGGTGTTGGGCGTTTGATTGGGCGCTCTTGATTTAATTCAGCGAGATTCCAGGATACTATTCCCCCCCCTCTCCCGGATTCAACTACCGTCAGCTCATGATATTTGTGTACTGTTGGCCCTATCTCAAGGGCCATCTGCCGGGAGTGAGATCTCATCGATGTCTTTGAAGTTTAATAGTGAGTGGCGTTGGTTGCTGACAGATTGGCAGGGTGCAGTTCAGTTATCGCACGTGGCTTGCTCTGGCGGCACACAATCACACCCGGCCAGGCAACCGCCAACCAAAAGGGATGCATGTTTTTGATTTTGCGGAATTCTTTTTTCCTCCAGTGTTTTTCCCAGGGAACCCCGTTAGGCAGCTATTCCATCCCAAAGACCACGGCAAGGAATTATTTTGTCGAGGCTCCGTCTGCCCAAAAGCCTTCCAGCTTATCTCCTCTTAGTCCTCTTTCGTTTGCCGATACTAGTATATCACGCAGATCGTATGCAGCCTCCTCTGTATGACTGGCATCCTTTCTTGGCCGCCTTG